TATCTCTGCTCCTGACCAGCCACGTACCCGGACGTTCAAGTCCCTATATCTCGCAGACACGTCCGTTAGATAGTGGTTACGCAATATGGAAGCTATGTTGAGCCCCGTTAGGGGAACCTGTTCAGCCCAATGTCCAGATGATGCAGATGATGCAAAGCAGAAACTCGCATTTCTTGCATCCCTAAAGCCTTCAAGATACCCAACATTAGCACGAAAGCACTTTAAGCCGGTTCCAAAAACGTGAAAAAACACAGGATTCTAGAACAAAAATACCCCCCCCCCCCCCCCTAGCTAAAGCTATTGTATACTGACGATACGGATTGCAAGCACAGCCCTATAAAACGCCTCAGCACCTCCAAGCTCTCTCACAGTTCGAGGACTTCCTTTAGAGTGTTGTGTTCTCGATTCAAACAAAGTTTCTCTCTGGTTTGGGCTCTGGACAAAATCGCTGTAACACCTCACGGACAGTTCCAAGGATGGTCTTTCATCCGGACTCAGTCAAGCACAGCTCAGAACATTCAATCCTGGCTGCAACTGCTTGATTGAACCTGAAGCACAGCCGCTGAGCACCATCATTCCAATGCCATGATGGGTGGCACTGCTCCTTGGTGCCCAAGCTCACGCAACTGACAGATGCACAGTTGCAAAAAACATTTTGAGGGATGCTTTCTGTTGGTTTCACTTTTGCATCAGCAAGTGCGCACTTTGCGACCGGCGGCTTTTCGCTCTCGTTTTTTTTTTTCTTTCTTGTGACACGTGGCTCAGACCACAAGGCGCACAACGAAGGGAAAAAAGAAGGTGAGACGGTGAAACAGTGAAAACCCAAGAACTGAAAAAATGAGAACATTTAGAGGTTTGCATTTGCAGCTTGTGAACTTTGGACAATTCCCAGAAGTAAGCACTACGTCCAGCAATTGAGCCGTTACAAGCAGTCAAAAACTCAAGAATGGAAGTCTCTCATCTGAACAATTGCTTCCATGTTGTTTGCGCGAAGAGAGCAACTTTCAACATGTGATCTTCAACCAGGCAAAGATCTCACCCTTCAGGTCCGCACGAAACTTCGATAAATTCATTCATGCATTCTTGCTCACCTGTGCGCGACAACTGCTGGGTGAATGACGGAACTGAGACCTCAAGTTGTTGCGCTTGTGAACCTTTTCTCACCTGCAAGACGGTGGACAGCTGTGCAAGTCGCAAAATTGAATGCATGGAAGTGGCAAGAGAACTGACTATTGGAACTGTATTTGTTGCTGCACGAACACTTCAAATTCCATTCAGCGCAGCTCATTCACATTTGCTGCACTTTCGCAACATGGAACCTTCTTTGTCTCATTGGTTTGCGTTTTTGTCATTTGACAAACTGCATGCTTTTGGAATATTATTTGCACACCAGGCACATACCGTCAGAGCTCAGCAGCACAACAGAAACACTCGACATTCTCACCAGACACATGCCGAGCTGATGACCGCCCTCCGGTTGCTGGGCAGTGTGCAGGCGCCAAACATGTTGGATAAGATTTTATTTTTTTTTCAATCATGTTGGATAAAACTGGTTTTTGAAGTGCTTGTTTCTTTTAGTTGATATGAACCCCAGGCTCTTGGGCGTCGGTCAGCTTTTGCCAGCTTGTCAGCCAAGTTGCCGCGACATCGTAGTCGCCTCAAACATGTTCATTTGGGATGAGAGTCGAGAGTCGAAACCAGAGTCGTTGGTAGATAAAGGACAATTTCCAAACATTTTTCCGTTTGTGACAACAACAGCTTGAAGTTGAGTTAATACTGCTGTATTGATCAGTGCAACAAACATGTTAGACTTGTGAGAAATCCGTGGTGCATCAGGTTCGCGACGTGCGGTGAAACCGGCGGAGACTGGAGAGGACTCAGGGGATACAGTAATGTAGTTTTCAAGATCCCAAGCAGCCTGTGTTTTGGGTCAGTTGTGTTAGCATAGAAACCTTCCTCCAGGCAACGCAGCTTGGCTCTCTGCCCGAGTGGCTTTTTGAAGATCGGCCTGTTTGGGTGGAGGTGCTCAAGTCCCAATCGAATCAAGTTGAGGTTCCTAAAAATCTAGGAACCAAATGTAGCGCTTCTTGAAGGAAGCTTCCCCCCGCCGCCCTAAAGGCGGCGGGGGGAGTGAGCTATCCTGCGTCCTGTTGGTAGTAGCTTAAGTTTTGTTGTAGCTACCTAGCTACAGCCACTACCTCCCTAGCTACCTAGCTACGGCCAGCCCCCCGGGCTAAAAATAGAAATAAAGCACACGAGTGTCTATTAAGATGTGTATGCGTTTGGCGCACCCTTTGGCCAAAGAATGTTCTAATGTGCAAGGCCTTGCTGCGTTTCTTGGGAGAACCCAACCTTCTTGTGGTACACCTGGCTGGATTCTGCAATTCCAAGTTTTGTTTTTCGCCACAAGAGACACATGTGTGAGTTTGTATTGTTTGTGTATTGCTCACTTGCCAAACTGATAATTCTTCTGTTTCCATCTCCATGACAGGTGCGCCTTGGAGGCTTGGTGCACAAAGCCCATGTGTTAAATTGATTTAAATTGCAGGGTCAGGCATCGCAGAGAAAAGGCCCCAAAGTTGAACATGCAAACTTGGCCAAGTCGATTAATTGGCCACTTGTTTTAAAGCAGAGGTGCAAAGCGCAACCAACATCTACGGCCTGCGAAAGGGCGGGTACCAGAGTTGCAGGAGAAGCAGAAAAGCGTGAAATGACTGGTTCGCCCCGCTCTAGCTTTGCGAAGGTGTTTGTTTTGAAACACATGTTGAATGGTGAGGCCTCTGAGTGCAAAATGTCACCATCCAACCACGTTTTTGGTATGCACATGTTTAACTTCCTCAATTGCTGTTTTGGAATAGCGTCCCAAAGATGGCACGCAGGAAGCAGCATGATTGAGTCAAGTTTGGAAAGCATACATCGAAAGCTATTCTGAATGCTTTTCCTGCGAACGTCATCCTGCAGACAATAGCAGCCAGCCATCATGAAGAAACGCCGATGCATTTACATGGAGACTGTGCAAAGCTTGCACACAGCTTCATCGAGAAAGCTGTCTCTATGATATTTACAAGCTGTGTACGGAAGCTGGCATACTTTTGAATCATTGTTGCTTTGCTCGTGGATCTACATGTCAACATGTCCTTTCAGCTTGGCTGAGAGGAACTTTCGATGCCTAGTGAAGAGCTGCGGGGGTGGGCCCGGCAGGAGCTGCAAAAGGTCGGGGGAAGCCGGAGTGCGAAAGTCAGGCAAAGGATAAAAGTATTCTGTGAATCTGACAGATTGTAGAAACAATCAGCTTCAGTGTGAGCAGCACCGTCGATTCCTTTGCACGCGTGCCTAAGAGTTTAGTATAAGCTTGGTAAACTCAAATCACTCCAGCTTTTTGTACAGAAACATCGGAAAAGCTGCATTGGCGGTTGTTTGCAAAATTGAGGTGTCCCGAAGATTCTGCATTGTCAGCCCCAAAATGACAGCCTGAGAGTGTTGTGACAATGTCGAGCACAGTCAAACACAGGCAGCGGATGAAGGTCGCCAGGCAGGGCCTTGCCCACTTGCCTGACAAGCAGTTTCAGTGCTGTGGTCACTTTAAGAGAGTCACTATGAAGAGTGACTGTCCCAGCACATGCAGAAGGGTTTGTTTGACTTTATGTGTGTTGGATTAAATTCATATCACTTGGGCAGAGCCACCTTTCTTTTAGCATCTTTTAGCTATATTTGGCAAATTATTTTGCAAAGGTCTGGGTGATCAAAGCACTGTTCAACAGGTAGCTCTTGTCCCTGAAGATCCTTTTGATTACACTGACACATATGTGAAAGATGCCTCAAGCCACCCACAGCAACGATTGGGTGTTGATGTGCCTACAGCGACGGCAACATCGGCCATTGACAGGCTCGACCTGTGGCAATAATTGCAGCTGATTCGCAGAATGCCGCTGATGCTGTGCAGGAACCTGCTAGTTATTTATATTTGGAGGTTTGTTTGTCTTGCTCCTTTGGGGTTTCGAAGCAAAAAGACCCGATAGCACTGACCACGAATTTGGCCATTTTACTACTGTGACTCCCAATCCTTTTGTGCCCAGCCTTGCAGGCTCTTCGTTCCATGGGCTTTCATCGTGTGGCGAACCTTCACACCCAGGACTTTGTGGGCACGTCGTCCTTGATTCAAAGACGTGGAAAAAGGTTGGGACAATGGGTGTTACGGTGCTACACATAAGCGTGAAGTCATTTTTTTCGACTCTTGTGTGTCCATCAATCAATGTCCTTGAAGCGTATCTCTAACCTGGGACACTGAAAGATCGAGATCTCACAGCGTCAATTTAGGACTGCTTTGGTTTGCAATTTTTTTCTCTGGATCAGAAGAGCGTGACAGGCCTTTCTACAGCAACTGCAATCAATACGACAAGTGCCGATCGATTGAAAAGGAGGCTGTGTCTTGCGAGGTTTCTGAGGTTTTTGCAAGCACATTGCACAGATTCGCACCAGTACAGCTTGCTCTGAGATTTTAGGTTTTCAGACAGGTTGATTCTACATTAAACCATGTGCTGTTTGGTTTCATGCTCTGTTTTAGCAAGGGCCTTAGAAGGGAAAGAAGACCCATTGGGACAGTTGGGTCATGATGAAAAGATCTTGTTCTTTGGAAGAGGGACTCCCGACGTGGTAACACTCGTACCTCATCTCTACTCCAGCCTGGTACGTCAGCTGACTTTTCCACAGCCACACGCACAGACACGTGATTTGAAATCACATCATCAAAAAGACACCGAACATCACATCACCTTATCACAAATCACCAGGTATCACACAATCATGTTGCATGTTGCATTTCAAGACTCAGGACGCATCAGGTCTCCTCCTTGTGCTTCGCCTCAGAGTAGCATCCCACTTTGTGTTTCGCTCGAGATTTGCTGCTCTTATTTCAATTTCTGGCTCATCAAGGCAATAGCTAAGTAGCTGCATTTCCCTCATGAGTACTGTATTCCCACTTTGGTGATTTGCAGGTCAGATTAAGCAAATGCTAACAGACGTTCTTTGTGCAGATGATGAGCTAGCTCTCTGGTCCTTAGAGCTACTTGCCGCATGGCACAAACCAAGCGGCAATAGCATTTCACATGATACTCGACACAACAAACACCCCAGCCAGATAGCACGATATTTTTGTTTTGGCCGGACGTACACTGCTCCACACTCCAGCAATGGGAAACGTGAGCATCTTTGTCGCAAGTAGAGACATACTGACATACTTTTCATCTGCGTGTGACTCCGGTTTGACAAGGGCCTTGGCCATGAAGATTTAATTTTGGACTTGCGTGGGGAACTCGTGGAATTGGCAGTAACATTCTTGGATAAGGCGACCATGTGAGCATGTGCAATGAGGCTGGATTATGGAGGGTATGGGGTATGGGAGCTTCTGCTTGGCGTTGTGAACAATACAGTCTTCCGAAGATCTCAATTTGATTGAGTGCTGTATGAAGCCTTGGACAGGAGTGTCAAAACCGCGCTGGCGAGTATGTGAGGCTGGAGCAAGCCAAAATTTGAGGTATGGGTTTGGCCCATGAAACGCCTGCAACACCACAGCATTTTGACAACGACCATCATAAACGCATGCTTAGAGAAGTTCCTTGAAGACCTTTCACGTACTGTGGGCTCAGGCTGTTTAACTGCAAGAATCATCATTTGTTTGATGTGGTTACCTGGTTCGCGCTTCGTTTGAAGGAATAGCCCAGTTCAGACGGAGAGGGTCATGAACGATGAGAGGTGGGACTTGTCGATTGATCAAAGCAACAAGAACCACGTCAGTCTTGGTGGAACAACTCTTTGAAAAACTCTATCATTATCATCTTGGACTCGAGTTCATTCAGCAACCAAAAATGGATGGACAAAAAACGTGGGGATAATGCCACCCAGAAACTTGCTTTTCCACAGTGCTACAGTGCTGTTTGCGTTTGTGGACAGCAGATACTGAAGTTTGATTTGACAATCTATTTTTGTGTTCAATTGCAGGGATGTGGCATGCGGCGCCTGGTTCTGGCTGAAGCATGGACACTCCTGTTCCAAAACTGGATAGGAACGATGACCACGGGCACACTTTCAGACTGTATGCTTCAGCATCTCTCAAGCGTTTTTGTCTCTTTTGAACACAGCAGATCTGCACATGTCCCAGACACAAGCAGGTTCTGAAACAGGTGGCATGGCTGCAGCAACTATATTACTTTTCGAGACCTGAGCCTGAGCTCCCATTGCAATGGTCGGGGAAATGACTTGAAGCTGCGGGCAAGGCATCATGGCAGCATTCAGCAGGGTGAACAGGTTGCGGAGTTTGGAGCTGGAATATGAAGACATCCTCGCATGCATGTAGTTCGATTGTGGATTTGACTTGCTCTTGTTTGTGATAGAATGCTCGTCAAAGAGAGACTTACTGTATCATCATCAACAAAAAGCCTTGGGCAATCACATTGAAGCACAGAATAGGTTTGGCTAATTGCAATTTTCCGATAAGGATCTACATTGCAAGTTACTTTCTGAGGCATATGCAAAACTCATATGCACTCTTCTTTTTCTTTCTCTCTCTATTTGGAGTTTCTTTTGGCTCTCAAATGCTCCCCTCATTTTTTCAAAATCATTCTGAGGGTGGTGAGGGTTGGACTTGGCAGCAGAGACGACAGATGCCAATTGATGTGAATAGTAGATTTCTGAGTCGGTGATCATCCTTAGAATCGAAACAACAGTTGGTCTTAACGAAACGATGGATCACCCAGTGAACAGTTGTCAGGTCTTGCGTTCTGACACTTGCAATCGGTTTGATGATTGTTGAGCGCACTGGTCACCTTGGTCTTGGTGCGAGCGGCTCATGGTGTGGCAGGTTGAAAGAATGATGCCGACTGTCGGCCTCTTTGGAGCGCTGGTTTCCCTTCACTCAATATTACTACTCACAGCGGCAAGGCAAGTGTTGACTCAGTGTTCTTGGTAAGTTTCAGAGGTGGTGCCCCAGATGAAATCATAGAAAAGGCACATGAATGATGGCCTCTGCAGTTTATGCAACCCAGCCACAGCTCATATTTGACTTTCATCGACTCGACAAATAATTTACTGGCTGGATCGCTTTGTTGGTAAGTATCTACAAAAGATGGGAGGGGAGAATGAGAGCTACCCTCTCCATCAACCGTCTCTCTGCAAGATCCCTCTCCAAAGCTTCCGTTTGCCATTGATAGGATGCTCTTCCGAATGCATACGCATACTAGTCTGTGAAGACAGCCATGATCATTTGGGTAGGGCACGGCGAATATGAGACTGACCAGCAAGGCGTTTGACTGTGTTCGATATCAACACTCTTGTTGTGACTTGCCGTAGCCATAGCCAAGTCAAGTTGCTCAAGACTCATGTGGTATATCTCTGGTCCAAATCTGGCGCAGAGGGCTGCTCGTCACGCATGGGTAGGGACTGGCGAAGAGGCCGTTGCAGACGCTTATGCTCGAGCTGGGGATGAGAAATATCCACTGGATGTACAGGACTTTTTAAAACTGTTGCGACGAAAGTATGGAACACTAGTACGAGCTTGGCGATTTGCGCTGGACACTGACAGTGGCAGTGAACTGGAGTTCTGTGAGTTTGTGGCAGCAGTTCGTCAAATGGGTGCAGGGCAGAATGCAAGAAGCCTGTGGTTCAATCTAGATGTTGATCAAAGCGGCACACTGAGCCTATACGACTTGGACCCAATCGCAGCGCATGCATTGGACAAGTTTCGCTATTTGTGCACCAGTCGCTTTGGTTCCATTCAAGCTGCATTTGCTGGATTCTTGGACTTGAACAAGTCTGGCATGATTGATTTGGATGAATTTGTGGAATGCATGGAAGGGCTCGGCTACGAGGCCTCAGTTGCCCAAGAGCTCTTTGGATTCTTACGCCCCCGACCTGGCAGTCGCCTGCTTAAGTCAATTGATTTGGAGTTTCTGCAAAAATGGGAAGATGCAAAGCAGGAGAAGAAAGAGAAGGCAAGACGGCAGGACGCGTTTTCAAATTTATGGAAACACAACATGCTCATGACTGTTTATGGGTTTTCTGTGTTTTTCAGTCAACCCACGAGATGAGAGTTGTAGGAGAAGTCAGAGCACATGTGATTCAAGATTCAATCGTCAGATTGTCAGGCGGGAACCTTGCACGTGGGCTGGGTGAACCGAGATCCTTGTGCAGCTGTCCAATATCGTCAAATGGCGGAGAAATTGGCCGCCAGCGGAGAGGCGAAAGCGGACCACAAGCAACGTGTTTCGGAAACGCCCTTCACAGCAACAGCCTTGGCCATCGCCAAGGCCACAGCCAAAGCTCATGCAGGCATGGAGATTTTCTGACAGCACAGACAGTCAATGTAGTTTTGTGCGATTCGGAGGTGGGGAGGCCTTTACTTTACGGAAGCCTTTGGCAGGAAGATGCTAGTAGCAGCTAGCTTCAAGCAACATTGGTACCCAAAACTTTTGTCATGAAAGCTGCCAGGTTGTGCAAACCAAGCCGACGACGCACTTGTCGAGGGAAAAAGATCTGGTTCAAAGGCACGAGTGGAATCTCCAGCAACAGCAAGTGCTATTGCCAAAGATAAGGAGACGATTGGATGCTATGCTATGCGGCTGGCTTCAGACAATGAGACCCAAAGCAGCAGGCTTGGCGTCCTGAAAGGTCTTAAGATACATGTCAGGTGTACTCCACATGTATATACATGTACATGCAAAGAGGTGTACACGTTTAAAGATGAGAAAGTTTCAAGAGACGTCAAGGATGCGACAGCTTTCCAAAATTGCTCGGCAGGTTCATCCAATATTTGCTTGATCGGTTTCAGTCTTTGGCGGCTGCGTGGGATGCTATGGACCCGCAGTACACCGGGGAGGTGACAAAGCAAGGTTTCCCTTCGGTGGTTGTCTTCAAGCTGGGCTATTGCCGAAATTCTGAGGCTCGCAGACTCTTTGAGGCCTTGCCCAAAAAGGATGCCCATCGCTTCACATGGAGAGATCTCGGACTAACAGCTGAAGACTGGCTAGAGTTTTCAACCAAGAAAAGTGGGAGGAATTGCAGCAACGATTGGAAGCGCAAAAGAAAAGAGCTGGTGATGGTGCAAGAAAGGCTTTGCAGAAGCATTATGATCGTGCGAACAAGAAAGGCCCTCAAGTGAAGCTGGTTTTTGGTGAGAAATCTCCTGAATATCCGCTGATCTTGCCAAAATGGGTGAGGCCAAAATCTGCGAGACAACCATCTGCTCGGGAATCTTAACAGCAACGTTTCTCTGACCAGAGCAGCATTTGTATGTGAAGTAATGCGCATGTCAGGGCCTGAATGGACGGTGGTAGAATAGGGTGTCCAGCAGGATTGCTTTTCTTTACGTTCCTTAGCTGGTTTCTTTGACAATGTAAGGTGTTAGATTTCATGCAAAGGCTTCATGGTTTGAAACTATCTTCAGAAAATATGTTTAATGTGTACGTGATGTTTCCCTAAAGATCTAGGAACCAAATGAATAGTGCGTGAGCTCTCTCCGTACTAGCTCCTCTAGCTACTTCCTACCCCGCTTAAAAAAAACAGAATCGTGATGTCACCATGATGCTTCATCCACAGAACTGTTGGAGGCAAGTGCTGTTCCGTCACCCGCCACTGTTTCACCCGCCGGCCGATGGCCATGGACGCTCCCACAGAGCAACATTCCGACAGGGCGGCCGTTGGCAAAAGTATGGATTGTTTGTGGCATATTTTTCCCCTTGCTTGACAGTTTGCTTGATGCCGTTGAGCAGCTTCCTGTCTTAGAGTCTTAGAGCAAGATTTGACGACCTGGGGCTTGTGAGTGTGGCTTAAACGGAGTTTAACAACTAAACTGCTTCAGATCGTTGTCAGGCAATTGTACCCATGCTGACCTTGCTGGTCATGGCTTGAAAGTGCGGCTACTTTCAGCGAGCGTAAGATGCGACCCTGGAGCATGGGGCTCGAATCCTTTGTGTTCACTCATGTATGAAGCTGTCAGTTGGTGCTGAGTTTCAAAGGGCTAGGTGTACATTGGATGTCACAACTTGTTGCCAACAAGGTGAGCAGGTGACAGTTGACTGCTCAGGTTAGCAATGTTTTGCTCGTGCACATGGGTGGTGCTTTTGGGCTAGGCAAGATGGGCTGCTCATTCAGCCAAGATCCAATGGTAGAAATCTGGAAGTGAAACAACAGTTTTGTGTAGAGCTTTGACCAGATCCGCGCTTCAGTGCAGCTGATCGAAAACGAGCACCTGATCCTGATTGGAACACCACGAACACAGCGATCCACTTTGATGAGAACACATAGTCGCTTGGACTTATATAAACTGGAAGTGGAGGAGTTGGGAAGTGGAGATGCATATTCGATAAGGATAAGTAGCGCATTGTTGTTGAAATACCTGTGAATATAGGCACTTTGCCTTTGATGGCTTGAAGCTTTCAGCTTAACCTCAGCAGCCTCAGCCAGTTTTGACTTTTTGCTTGAACGAGGTGGTGGATGCTTGACACGAATGCAAGTTGGAGGACAACGTTCTTTTTTTTTCTTGCGACTGATGAATAGTCATTGTTTCCGGGTGCTATGCATTGAGAGGCACCTCGTCAGGTTCTCCCAACAACATTGTTGTCTTACTTTATCAAGCCTTTCCACAGCATGTCTTGAACAATGCAAGCAGAACGGTTGTATATAAATGAAGCTCTTGCAGTTTGCTGGACAATTCTCCAGGTGTGTTGTGACTCGTTTGGTGCCAGCGACCAAGGACCTTGGACCATTGCGTTGCATGCTTCGCATGCTCCGCATTCTGATGAACTGCGGCTTTCTAGTTTGCTGGAGAGTGTGGCTCAGTGCTTCCATCCAAAAGACCGAGTGCTGGAGGCTGTGGGTGTGGCACGAAGCTAGCTAGTGGTTCCTCCACAGTACAGTTTCTCAATTTTTTTCCCACGCTGACCCCACCAATTCGGAAATTGTTTTTGCAAAATGCATGCTGGAACTTTCAACCGTTCAAGCGGTCCAGCTTGGACTTCAGTACGTCAGTACGTATTGCATCCATAATGCTTTTTGTACTCACAAGCTCAGGCGACGGCGATTAGCTCAGCAACGTTGGGGAACCCCGGTGGATTAGAACTTGTTGGTTGAGCCAGCTCTGGATGTAGCTGGTGTGTGTGTGTGTGTAACCCTTGGAATCACAGGGATCCTTTCGGATTGTTCTCGCTTTTGGTGTTTTGAGCTTTTTAGCAGGGGGTAGCGGCAGATCACTTGGGACCGCTACCAACGAAGACACCCATTTGATCTGGTGATATCGGAGTTGGCCACTCCGACGTACCTGCCATTTTCCTTCCGTTCTGAATGGCATGAGGCTAAGCCAAGAACCTCGAAGTTTTGATGTTTTCTTTGAACTGCAGATGCGAGCGGAACGTCGTCAGCCTGTTCGTCCGTCGTTCGTTTTCTTCCTCTTTGGGCCATTTCTCCGTTTGAAGACCCCCAGGATTCGCTGGTTCCCTACCGATACTCTTAGGAAATGGAACCCTAGGCCGGCGTGTGGCACCGCTATCAA